TGCTCAACCTGTATAATTTTATCATATGGATTCATGTTATCACAACCACAGAGTAAAGTTGAAAAAAACTGTTCTATTACAAAGATCCTTATATCAGTTTCCTTCTCAATTTTATTAATTTACTTTTTATATTATATGGCATGAGTTATCAGAAAAAAGATTGACAATATGTTTTAGGGCTATCATTTCGACTTTTTCACATTGTTCATTGTTCTGGGACTGTTTATATAGGACTATTCCATTTAAAATTCAAGTTCATGTGTTTACTGTAGAATCTTAAAACTCCCAAAGTCAGGAAATCCAACATCTGCCCCCCATATAACCCTCCCCAAACATGATATTAAAGCAATTATTAACATTAATAACCTGCGAATTTCTCTAGTGAGAGATTCCTTTTTGTTAACTGATATATTTTGGTGTTAGATTTCCTTATATGTTAACTTTTGTTAGATTATGCTATATTAAGAAACACCTCTGACAACAAGAAAGGCTTATTTATTGCTCATATAATACATTACCTGGGACTTAGTTATGGTTATGATCTGCAGTTTTTATTTCTGGATCCAGACTGGAGGAGCAATCATTATTTGTGGTATATTATTCTTTTGACACAGAAAAAGAATAAGAGCTGGCAGAAGCATACAATAATTCTTAAAGCTTTTTACTTTCTCATAGTCACATGGTGGAGTCACACTGGTGGCCTTAGAGCGAGGCTTGTAGGTTATTTTTTTTTCAGAATATATAGTAATATGTAGTAGTTTACACTTTAGAAGGAATTTTTCTTATGATTATTTAATTTGATTACAATTTGTAATGGATTGCTTTTCATTTACAACAAAATTTTCAAAGGTCAGTTTTGATTTTGGTAACTATAATTTAAGCTTTCCTTTAGAAATTTAGATGTTAAAAATTTTGTATATAGATCAGGTTTTTGCATTTTTATAGTTTTTCCCTAAAGGAAAATAGCTTTATTGTTTTGTTATGAAAATACCAGATTTACTCAAAGACTGCAAATATCATTTATAATTTCCTTATCAAAGATAATCAGTGGTCACTTTAGCCATGCCTTTCATTTTTTTCCTGCATTCATTCTGTTATTTAAGTGATCACATTTATCATTCAGCAACAACCACAACAAATGCCAATTTTACTGAGACCTCAAACACATTCCTTGGTCTTGCTTGATAAGTAACTTGGCAATTTGGATGGCTTTTTCCATTCTCACTTAGCTGTATCACATTAGTCTAGTAATCAGCACAGGGTGTACTTTAGAACACTTTAGTAAACTAATACCTTCTTGTGAGTGTTTATGAAGTAGTCAATGAATTTACAATGTGATGATCAATAAGGCACCATTTAGGATTTCTTACCATATATGAATTTTTTTCTGCATACTAAAAATTCAGCTAAAATATACTCTTTGTCACCAAGGAAACATTTTCTTGCTCTGGCAGAGTATGTATATCCTAAAAGTAGGTGACTGTATATGATCTTTTACTCAAGCAGAGATATTTTTGAGGAAAGAGTAAAAGAGGGCTGTAAACATTTAAAATACTACACACTGTGTGTGTGTAAGAGGGAGAGAAAGTGGGGAGAGAGATTTCTGGGGCTTGAATTCAGGGCCCGGTCACTGTCCCTGAGTTTTTTTGTTCAAGGTTAGCATTGTGCTACTTGAGCAACAGCTTTACTTCTGGCTTTTTGGTAGTTAATTGGAGATAAGAATATCTCGGGCTTTGCTGCCCAGGCTGGCTTCAAGCTGTGATCCTCAGATTACAGCTTCCTGAGCAGCTTGGATTATAAGCATGAGCCACCGTGCCTGGCCATAAAATAGTACACTTTCTGAAATATTCCTTTATATAGTTTTTATTGTATTGGTAGGTCAATAAAATACTTCCGTTAGGTTATTTTCAAAAACAAAAATATTCTAAGTTGTCCAACATAGGAGGCTGAGTGATTTGAAGCAGAAAAGTCTTCAAGACTTCATTTCCAAAATAACTAGCAAAAAGCTATAATGGATGTGTTGCTCAAATGGTAAAGCAACACAACTAAGCAAGCAATCTGGCAGGCCTAGGTCAAACACTGTATACACACACACACTCTCTCTCTCTCACTCTCTCTCTCTCTCTCTCTCACATACACAGCCTGGTGGCTCCTAACTACTAAGGAGGCTGAAATCTGAGTAGCTGAAATCTGAGTATCGTGGTTCAAAGCCAGCCTGGATAGAAAAGTCCATGAGACTTATCTCCAATAAACTACTCAGAAAAAGCCGGTAGTAGTTCTGTGGCTCAAGTGATTAGAGGGCTGGCCTTGACCACAAAGAGGCCCAGGAACAGCACCCAGGCTCTGAATTCAAGCCCCAGAACTCCCCCCCCCCCAAAAAAACCCAACAAACATTTTGTTCATTTTAACAAAATGAAGTTTCTATGTTTGTATTGGTTAAATGTTAACCCGATTATTTTTGGTAATAACCATGTTTTTTTTAAAAATCAGTTTCTTAGCCAGCTGTGTCTCTAGTATTGTGTCTTTAATATTGTAATTTTCCAATATAGTTTTAGTACGAAACCAGTAAAACTATTATACAGTTAGTTTTACTTGTGTAAATTTTTCATAAATATCTTCATTGTTTTTTAGTTTGCATTTTCTACTTTGTGATTGTCAGCTTTTACAATTGACATGTCTGTCCTAAGTAGCTGTTATTCTTCCTAATCTCCCTTTGCCCCTCAACACCCTGCCCTTTGTTTTGTTTTTACATTCTTAAGGGAAATCATTACTCTAGTGTCATAATGTGCATATTTACTCCCCTTCTTTTGCTCTCTTCACCTTTCCCATTTATTACCTGCCCCACAAGTCCCTCTTTTATATTTGTCTCTTATTTGTTTGTTTTTGTGGTACTGAGATTTTGAACTCAGGGCTTGGGATTTGCCAGGCAGGCTCTAATTTGAGCAACACCTCCAGCTCCTTTCCTTTTTATTTGATGGTACTTGGTTTGAACTCAGTGCTTCACCACTTGCTTTGAGCCCTCCATTTGTCAATTCTTGCTCTCAGTTCCTGAACTCTTAGAGTACTATTCACAATGTTGTTTTGTATCCCTGTATTTGTGTGTGTGTGTGTGTGTGTGTGTGTGTGTGTTTTCCTCTAATATAGTTTCAAAGTTTCAGGTTTTACATTGAGGGCTTTGATCCACTTTGAATTGATTTTTTGTACAGAATTAGAGGCAGGGATCTATTTTCAGTCTTTTACATGTAGCTATTCAGTTTTTCCAATACCATTTGTTGAAGAGGCTGTCATCTCTGATGTATGTTTTGGCACTTTAGTTAAAAATCAAATGGCTGTAACTGTGTGGGCTTATTTCTGGGTCTTCTATTGCATTGGTATATAATATGTGTTTTTCTGTTTTAGTTACTACTGGCCCTGTAGTATAATTTAAGTCTAGTGTTGTGATACCTCCAACATTGCTCTTTTGCTCAAGATTGCTCTGGCTGTTCTTCATCTTGTGCTTCCATATGAAGCTCAGGTTTGATTTTTCTATTTCTGTAAAAAAATGACATTGAAACTTTGGTGGGGATTACTTGGATCTGTAGATTGCTTTTGGTAGTATAGCTACTTTTCACAATATTAGCCTGGTACATCTTTCAGGTCACTATACTTGCTGCTGTACTGGCTGGCCCACCAAATAGTGGGAGTACAGTTGGCAGATGCTCCTTCCTATAAATTATAACACCGTAAATAATTAGTGGTCTGTACTTTCTTGTGTCTAAGGATACTTTTCAGTGAGTTTTCTACATTTACTTAAGCATTACTGAGTAGAGGTATACTAAACCTATATCCTAGTTTATTTTAATGTATATTAGAGTAATGATTAATTACAGTTTTCTTTTTGTGTGTAACTGGGGTTTGAATTCAGGGCTTTGAGGCTTTTGCTAGATAGGCACTCTACCATTTAAGTCATGTTTCCAGCCCTGTTTATTCTTGTTATCATTGAGATAGAATCTCATTTTTCCCCCATGCAGCCTGGATTGTTCCTCCTATTTACACTTCCTGCCATAGCTGGGATGGCAGACTTATGCCACCATACTCACCTTTTTTCTGTTGAGGTAGAGATTTCTCAACTTTTCTGCCTGGCTGTCCTGGAATCACAGTCTTCCATTTCCACACAGCTGAGATGATAGGCATGAACCGCCATATCTAGCTATTGGCTGAGATGGAGTCTCACGAACTTCTTTTGTCTGGGCTTCCCTCAAACAGTGATCCTCCTAATCTCTGCTTCCTGAGTATTAGATATTACAGGCATGAGCCACCATCACTTGATTTATAATTCATTTAAAGTATGACAGTTGGTAACATGAATGAAATGGTGGGACACCAGATTGCCATCAAGACTTTTCTGGTGAAGCAAGGACATACTGCGAAGCAGCATGGAGGCTTGTAGTGGGAAAGACTAGAATTTACATCCTCACTGCCATCTAAAGCCTGAACAAGTAACCTCTCTGGAACTAGATATATTACTCAAGATTTTCTGGAGAAACAGAAACAACAGGTTATGTGTGTGTAGATGTACACGTACATTGCAGTCTCAAATCTTCATGTTTATGTATATATGTATATAATGTGTGTATTTCGAACTGTGCCTTCTATCATCCACTTAAATCTTGTTAAATTTATTTTACAAATATTTCTTCAAATTATACCTTTCCTTTGCCCTGATAGTGTTTGTATCTTTAGCTGCAATGTTTAAAATTATTTCCTAAGTAGTAATTACCTCAGAATAAAAACTGATACCAAGATAATAACTCTTGAATTTGCCCCCTTTTTTATCCTCATTTTCTTTACTTTAACCATGATAGGTGAGACCTTTCATAAATTGTCTCCTGTAAAACATCACTAACAGAGCACTGGTTCAGAAGTTTTGTTTGTTTTAGATAAAGTCTTGCTGTGTAGCTCAACTGGCTTTGCTATCACAGTCCTCCTGCTTCAGCCTCCTGAGTGCTGGGAAAATAGGCATGGGCTTGCCTATAAAGGTATGTAGTTCTGTAGTAGAGCACTTGCCTACCATGCATGAGACCCTCTGTGCTGGACTTCTTGTTACTTACAGTGGTAATTGCATGCCTTGAACATGCTGTTGTCTCTGAAAATCACTCTCTGTATCCCTCCATATTCATTTAATTATTTAATATTTATTTGTAATGCTAGGGATACACTGAGGGCCTCATACATGGTAGGCAAGTACTCTACCATTGAACTATATACTCAGCCTTCAGTTGATTATTTTGCTAAAGTGGTTTTTGAATTGAATTCATAGATACCTGGGGCACTTGAGTAGAGAGGATAAATGCTTTTGTTTTTTTTTGTTTGTTTTTTTGGGTCTGGTCGTGGGGCCTGAACTCTGGGCCTGAGCGCTGTCCCTCAGCTCTTCAGCTCAAGGCTAGTGTTCTACCACTTGAGTCACAGCGCCACTATGGGTTTTGTTTTTTTTTTTTGTTTATGTGGTGCTGAGGAATCGAATCCAGGGCTTCAAGCATGCAGGGCAAGCGCTCTACCACTGAGCTACCTTCCCAGCCCCTTTAATTGGTTTTAACAAAAGCATTTCCTTCCTAATTTGTTGTATGTTCGGTTTTTGGGTGGGATTTTACATGAGATAAAGTTCTGAAATAAAAAATAATTTTAAGATTCTTGTTTTGATTCTGTCTTCTGATTCTTTGTAATCCATGTGACTTTATTCTTTCCCTTGCTTTCCATCAAAGAAACAAAAGTAGCCTTTTTAAAATAGAGGATATTTTATCCTTTTCATCTTTATTTCTGAAATATCTTTTGACTGAATGCTAAATATGTTATTAGAATTATTGAAAAGAACATAATTACTATTATTATTTATTGTAGTTATCAAGTGGGAATCCTGTATATGAAAAATACTATAGACAGGTAAGATTTTCATTGTTATTCTAGATTGAACATAAAATAAACTTCCAATTGTTGATTATATGCATGTAGATTACCAGCTGGCTGGATAAATTTGATGTATCTTTAACTTTTTGTTTTGACCCCCAATGTTGAGTACTTAATGCTGTTTTGTTTTGTTTTTTTGTACTCAGGCAGGCCTTGAGCTGGAGCTTACAGTCCGCCTGAGACTGTAGTACTGGGATTATAGACATGCACTGTAGGAAAGAAAATTAAGATGATTCAATTATCTTAAATATGTATGTTAAAAATCTATACAAGGAAATAAAGATGTAGCTCAAGTTACTACTTGAGCACCAGCTTTGAGCAAAAAAGCCAAGTGAGAGGGCTGAGAAAGTGGCTCAGTGATAGAGCGCTTGCCTTGCATGCATGAGGCCCTTGGTTCGATTCCTCAGCACCACATAAGCAGAAAAAGCTGGAAGTGGCATTGTGGCTCAAGTGGTAGAGCGCTAGCCTTAACCTGAAGAGTTGAGGGACAGCTCCCAGGCCCAGAGTTCAGGCCTCATGGCTGACCAAAAAAAGAAGCCAAGTGAGAGCTTAAACCCCTGAGTCAAGCCCCAGTACACGCACACACACATGCATGCATGCACGCACGCATGCACACACACACACACACACACACATGTACAACATTAGATATATTTATTTAGCTATAAATATACAAATTAGGTTATAAGCCAAAAGTAAATTACTTTTACGTTTTTGTTTGTTTGTTTTTGGTTTTTTTTGTTTTGTTTTGTTTTGTTTTTGGACAGTCCTAGGGCTTGAACTCAGGGGCTAGGCACTGTCCTTGAGCTTCTTTTGCTCAAGGCTAACACTCTACCACTTGAGCCATAGCACCACTTCTGCTTTTTCTGGGGAGTCAAACCCACGGCTTCCTGAATGCTAGGCAAGCACTCTACCACTAAGCCTCATTCCTAGCCCTTTCATGATATTTTTTATTATTATTTATTTATTTAGATCCAGTCGTGGGGCCTGAACTCTGGGCCTAGGCGCTGTCCCTCAGCTCTTCAGCTCAAGGCTAGCACTCTACCACTTGAGCCACAACACCGCTTCCGGCTTTTTTTTTTCTGCTTATGTGGTTCTGAGGAATGGAACCCAGGGCCTCAAGCATGCAAGGCAAGCTTGCTCTACCACTGAGCCACCTTCCCAGCCCCTCATGTTATTTTTTTTTAAACTTACTAAAATATAATTTTTACAAACTGAAAAGCATGGCTTTCATATAAATCTAAATGAACATAGGGGCTGAGGATATGGTTGTGAGGTAGAACAAGGCTCTGGATTCAATTCCCAGTACCATAAAAGCTAACAAAGCATGTCAAAGATTTTATTTAATTTATTAATTACTTGGTAAACCATTCAAATATAAGAATGAGAATATGATTTACAGATGTTCATACTCAGGCAAAATTCATTTGCATTGGTAAGGGTGGATTCATTTGCAAAGCTAATAATTTTCTATAATTAAACCTCTATCTTGGGGGGTCCGGTCGTGGAGCCTGAACTCTGGGCCTGGGCACTGTCCCTCAGCTCTTCAGCTCAAGGCTAGCGCTCTACCACTTGAGCCACAGGGCCACTTCTGGCTTTTTTCTTTTTGCTTATGTGGTGCTGAGGAATCGAACCCAGGGCCTCATGCATGCAAGGCAAGCGCTCTACCACTGAGCCACTAACCTCTATCTTTAAAATTTAAAATAGTCTAATCTATAGAAAGTTAAATGACAGGGTATACTATATGTCAGATAATACTCTGAGAGTATAGACAATCTCATTTTCCCATTTCCAAGTACTAAATAATTTTCCCTAAAAGCCTTCTCACCTACTGAGCATGAACACAGAGAAGGCTAGTTACATATTTGGCATGGATGTCTGCATAGTTGTAGCAAAGGACAGTGAGATGTAGACCTCCTGGATTTTGACTTGCAAATCTAGAGCTATCTACTATTCAGCCATTTAGAAAGCCAGAAAATTAGTTTGTGCATGGAAACTTTTATAATTAGATTGTACTAAGTGGAGATTGAACAAATAAATCTCTTTGTTTATTTTTAATTTTTAATTTTTTACTTTTTGCTAGTCCTGGACCTTGAATTCTGGGACTGGGATTGGGTGCTGTCCTTTTGCTCAAGGCTAGCACTCTACCACTTGAGCTACAGCACCACTTCTAGTTTTTCCCCTGTGATAGTCTCCCAGACTTTCCTGCCTCAGCTGACTTCGATCTGTGATCCTCAGATCTCAGCCTCTTGAGTAGGTAGGATTACAGGAATGAGCCACCAGTGCCTAACTCTTTGCTTACTTTTAAAGAGCCTGTTGCTCAAGCTGACTTCAGAATCTTCAACCTTTTAAGTAGCTATGACAGGTGAACATTATCACACCCAACTTGATTTTGTGTGTGTATGTGCATGCTGGTCCTGGTACTTCAGTTCAGGGCTGGGGTGTTATCCTGTTGTACAAGGCTAGAGCTCTACCACTTGAGCTCTATTTCTGGCTTTTTTGGTTTAATTGGAGATAAGACTCTCATGGACTTTCCTGTCTGGGCTGGCATTGAACTGTGATCCTCAGATCTGTTTCCTGATTAGCTATGATTACAGGCATGAGCCACCAGAACCCAGCTGATTGTGCTTTTTAAAGTATGTATTTTTTTTGTTCTTCTACTTTGATGACAAGATCAGTTTTTATCAATTTTCTCTCCAGTATATATAAATTTATCAGTACATATAAATTTATCAGTACATATAAATTTAGTAGTACATATAAATTACAGCGACTTTGTCTCATCTTGAGGTTTTCCAGATATACTAAATTTCCTAGCTTGCTGATAAACAACCTTATTCTATTACATATGAGGCTGGACCTTTATAAACCAGACAGTAAGCCATTTTTTTTTTTTGAGAGTGAGTTTTGGCTCCACATAAAGTTGAGGTTTTTCTCCCCCTCCTCTTTTTTTTTTTTTTTTTTGTGGGTCATAGGGCTTGAACTCTGGGCCTGTGCACTGTCCCTCAGCTCTTCAGCTCCAGGCTGGTGCTCTACCACTGGAACCACAGTACCACTTCCAGTTTTCTGGTGATTAATTGGAGATAAAAGGCTCACAGAATTTCTTGCCCGGGCTGGCTTTGAACCGTGATCCTCAGATCTCAGCCTCCTGAGTAGCTATGATTACAGGTGTGAGTCACCTGTACCCCACTTCCCCCTCCTCTTTTTCTTCTCCTCTTTCCCCCCTCCTTCTCTTCCTGTCTCTTACCCCATATGCTGTCACTCTGTTTTTACACATAGCTAGTGCTCTGTCACTTGTGCTACACCTTCTACTTCCCATTTTACTGGTTATTTGGGGATAACAGATTTGTCTGTCTGGGCTGGCTTTGATCTCAACCTTAGATCTCTACCTAGGATTATAAACATAAACTACCAGTGCTGGTTAAAATTTATGTTGAGTAAGTTATTTTATCTAATAAAAGAGAATTGTTCTTAGACACAGACTTGTTTTGCATACTTGATGCATCTAAACTATTACTGAGTCTTTGTGATTATATTGCTATAAAAAGTAAGGAAGCCAGGCACAAGTGGCTCACTTCTGTAATCCTAGCTACTCAGGAGGCTGAGACTGAGGATCGTGGTTGAAAGTCAGCCCAGCCTGTTGGACTATTTCCTATTAACCATCAAAAAATTGGAAGTGAAGGTATGACTCAAGTGGTAAAGAACCAGCCTAGAGTGAAGTGCAAGCAACAGCGCTTAAGCCCTGAGTTCAAGCCCCAGTACTAGCATTAAATTTTTTTTAAGTAAGGCTTGTTTTTATATTCATATAGACCAATGAGAATCAGATACCATTGAAAACTATTTCATTCAGTTGACAAAAGCAGATTCTACTAAAATGAGGGTTGAGATAGCCAAGGAAGAAAAAATAAGTGGAGCTTTGTCACATACCTATTAGAAAGTGTAAAACATTATATTTGGTGCAGTGTCACATGCCTATAATCCTAGCACTCTGGTGGCATCATGATTTTGAGGCCAGCCTGGACTACATAGCAAGATACTATCTCAGAACAAAAAAGTGACAGAGGGGATGGGAGGAGATGAAGGAAAGAAAGAATGAATAAATGAATGAATTAAAACATTAAAAATAATATGATGAGGAACCATGGCACGCATCTGTAGATAGTCAGCTACTTGGGTTGCTGAGGCAGGAGAACCACTTGAGGTTAGAAGTTCAGGGCTAGCCCCAGTGATATGGAAAGACTGTCTTAAACAAAACCAGCAGAGAGCTGACAGTATCTCAGTGATAGAATGAGTATATGTTAGGCCTTGGTTTCAATCTCAGTACCCCCAAAACAAAAATAATTCCAAATTCTGACAGTATTCCAAGTAAACATGCATAATTAAATTATTCTGCAGCAATTCAGTCAGTCCATATTAGGATATAATACATACATATTTTATTCAGTCTTACATCCAGTTGGATCTAGACTTGTGAGTTTGCTTTCATGAACTATATTTGCCTCCAGGCTGAAGAAAAAGTCATTATAAATCCTGAATTCATCTACCTATCTGAAAGTAGTCTAAGTTGTTAGCTCAGAAGTCTTTATCCAAACATCTATTTCTCAGTTAATAATTCAGTCCTTTTCACAAGGTTCCAACCTTGTCTTTGTTGAAGGCATAGATTCTAGCCTGCAGTGTATTGGCAGAGTGTTTAGGCAAGCATCCGAGTACTGTGCAATTGTCTGTAACAGGACAAGGATTTAATGGCTATGCTTAACTTATTATAGAGACTAAGAGAATAGAATATACTAAAATTCCTTATTAGAATACAGTACACAAATATTTGATGAGTTTGACTGATACTTCCCTGAGTTATGCTCTGTGTTAGGTTATGCAACATTTGAGTATCTCTTTGTCAGAGAGTGGTCAAAACCATAGTTCTGGTGCTAGCGGCTAATGCCTGTAATCCTAGCTACTCGGAGGCTAAGATGTGAGGATCGTGGTTCCAAGCTAGCCTGGGCAAGAAATTTGACTTTTCTCCAATAAGCTACTCAGAAAAAGCCCAAGTGGCACTGTGGCTCAAGTGGTAGAGCACTAGCCTTGAGCCAAAGCAGCTCAGGGACAGTGCCCAGGCCCAGGGTTCAAGTTCCAGGAGAGAGGGAGAGAGAGAGAGAGAGAGAGAGTAGTTATTAATCAGGTTTCCCAATCTTCGTGCTTACTTCTTACCCAAAAATTGAAGAATTAGGATTTTTTTTTTTTTTGGCTGAGTAATCCTATGTTCTAAAATTTGAAAAAAAGTATTTTTCTTTTGACTTTTTTTTCAGTCCTGGGGCTTGAACTCAGTGCCTGGGTACTGTTCCTAAGCTTCTTTTGCTTAAGGCTAGCACTCTACCACTTGAGCCACAGTGCCACTTCCAGCTCTTTCTGTGTATATGATATTGAGGAATCGAACCCAGGGCTTCATTCATGCTAGGCAAGCACTCTACCACTAAGCCACCTTCCCAGCCCTCTTTTGGCTTTTTTGTTACTAGATTTTCTACAATACCTTGCATATGTTTACAGTAAACTTAATCTTTAAACTAGAAATATAGCTGTTTCATAAATGTCCTAGTAAATGTTACCCAAGACTTTTAAACTATTTTTTGAAATACTGAGGATTTGAATTTGTGGCTTTATGCTTGCTAGGCAAGTATTTTATCACTTGAACCATGCCATCAGCCTGCTGTAAGTTTTTAAAGTTTACTTTTCATATTTGCAAATAGAGCTTTCAGGAATCTTTACACAAATGAAAAAAAGTAGACTCATTTTTTTCCCGAAATTTTTCTTTCCTGTTCTAGTGACCTCATTGAATGTAGAGAAGTCAATGATCTAAAACTGTTTGCAAAGACAGTTAACATTTGCTGCTATTCTGATTTGTCACAAGACTTCTCTGGGAAATTATGCCTTTTTTTCTCCTATTATCATTTTGAATTTAAATTACAGCCATAAAAAATTGGAACCTGAAGATCTATGTTGATGTTCTAACTCCACTAATTTGCTTTCACCTCCTCTCAGATTAAGTTTTCTTATATATAGCAAGTATGATAAAAAAATTTTTTTTGCAAATCATCACCACCAGCTTGATGGTACTCTGTTCATATGGCTCTTCACATGTTTCTTGGCCCATGTTAGTAAGACAATTCCTGTTTCTTTTTTGGAAAGCCAATTCTCAAATTAGAGGTTTGGAAAGTTAGATAATTTTGCTTTTGTGTTTTATTATTTGCTTACAGTTTATATCTTTTCAGGTTGATACAGGCAATACTGGAAGGGTATTGGCTTCAGATGCTGCTGCTTTCCTGAAAAAATCAGGGCTTCCAGACTTGATTCTTGGAAAGGTAATGTTTGTCTGTTATAACTAGAGTATCACATATGTATAAGCACAAATGAACTGGATTTAAATTCAGATCAATAACCATTTAGAAACTTACAAATTAGAATAGAAACAGTTACATAAATGGATTGGGAGTATTATGACATAGTAATTTATCTTTTTGAAAAGTATTAATGTGTTCAAATTTTTAGAAACATACTGTTGTGTAGGATGAAAGGAGGAAGTAATAGTACATTTGGGTATTATGAGAAGATACAGTGCAGACTGGGAACCTTGCTACCTTTATATACTATATGTTTAATGTGTGTGTTGAATAGAGTAAAAAATCTTTCCTGCCAGAGCCTTACATTAAGTCAAAATCCTGAAAAATAATCATTGTTAAAAATTCAATTATCCGGGCTGGGAAGTTGGCTCAGTGGTAGAGCGCTTGCCTTGCATGCCTGAGGCCCTGGGTTTGATTCCTCAGCACCATATAAGCAAAAAACCGGAAGTGGCGCTGTGGCTCAAGTGGTAGAGTGCTAGCCTTGAGCTGAAGAGCTGAGGGACAGCGCCCAGGCCCAGAGTTCAGGCCCCACGACCGGACCCAAAAAAAAAAAATTCAATTATCCACAAATAAATATGAGTCTTCCCAACTTGCCCGTAAAAAACATTTGTCTTAAAGTTAAATCCTGGGTTAGTGAAAAAGGCTAGAAATTTGACTAGAAATTTGAGCATGTGTTTTAGTTCTTTTGCTGGTTGTAAACCTCATTGGGCCTTTGGTTCCCAATGAAGGGTTGCACTGAATGATTTTTAAGGGTTCTTTCCATTTTTAATTCCATGATTTTTAGATCTTACAGCCAAAGAGCATGACATTATAAATTGCAGCAACTTTTCTTTAAGTTAATTTCTGTTAGAAATAAAAATTCTGTTTTCTTTATTTTTGAATTTCAGATTTGGGATTTAGCTGATACAGATGGGAAAGGTATCCTGAACAAACAAGTAAGATTCAGAGATTTATATAAAATTATTTTTAGTGATTTGAAATTAAAAATAGCCAGCAGATTTTTACATTTTTAAGCAAAGAATTATTTATTTTTATTTTAAAATCAGTATTAGGGTTTTACAAGGTAAGTGTCTTAACAGTGAAAATATTTCCAACCTATACACATTTAACTATAACACCTAATACCTAAAGGTTAGTGCTTATTTGGTGATAACGTTCTCTTGAGGTTTACTTTTCTGTCCTATAGCGAGACTTAGCTCTTTGTATCTTACTAATTAAATTATATGGGTGAACAAAGTTATAATTAAATGTTGATTTTTATTAATAAATGTAAGATGATATTGTCAGTCCATGTGAAAGGAATATCTGGATTAATGAAACTTGAATATTCTGGTTTAAGTCTTTTTTAAATTTTTTTTAAATTTTTATTTTTTGGGGTCCGGTTGTGGGCCTGAACTCTGGGCCTGGGCACTGTCCCTCAGCTCTTCAGCTCAAGGCTAGCACTCTGCCACTTGAGCCACAGTGCCACTTCCGGCTTTTTTCTTTTTGCTTATGTGGTGCTGAGGATCAAACCCAGGGCCTCATGCATGCAAGGCAAGCACTCTACCATTGAGCCACCTTCCCAGCCCTGGTTTAAGTCTTATCTCTACATGTAAACTGAAAAAATGATTCACAGGCCAGAAATAAACTCCAGACTACATATGCATGAAAAATAGCTATGACAGGAATTTTGAACACCATCTATATACTTTGATATTTTACTTGTTGGGAAGAGATTTCAGAGGTGTATAGGATTGAATTAAAAGTTTGCTACATGCTAATACTTTTTTTTTTTTGCCAGTCATAGGGCTTGAACTCTGGGCCTAGGCACTGTCCCTCAGCTCTTCAGCTCAAAGCCAGCACTCTACCACTTGAGCCATAGTGCCACTTCTGGCTTTTTCTGCTTATGTGGTGCTGAGGAATCACAGGGCCTCATGCATGCAAGGCAAGCACTTTTACCACTGAGCCACCTTCCCAGCTCTGCTAATACTTTTGATTAGCACCACTATTTAAAGTTAACTTTTTCCCCCTATGGATATGCCTAAAGCATGATTGAAACCAGAAAAGAGGGGCTTGGGATGTGGCTTAGTGGTAGAGTGCTTGCCTAGCATGCATGAAGCCGTGGGGTTTAATTTCTCAATACCACATACACAGAAAAAGCCGAAAGTGGCACTGTGGCTCAAGTGGTAGAGTGCTAGCCTTGAGCAAAAGAAGCTTAGGAACAGTGCCCAGGCCCTGAAAGCCCCAGGACTGACAAAAACAAAAAACAAAACAGAAAAGAGATGTGAAGAATTCAATGAGAGGGTCAGAATACTCAATCTCTTAATAATAAAATTCCAGGGCCAGATTGCAGGCTCATTGCAGCCTTTGGGTAGAAGGGCCAGTTTGGTACAGTGGAGACATATACTTTGTGCACTTAATTCAGCAAATGTTTGTTAGTACCTGTTAAGAGCCAGGCTTTAGAATCAAATACAGGGGCAAAATTATAGTATAGCTTTACAAGTATGATTGATCCCTATCTTACAAGTAATAAGTTCTTTGCTTATGTTCATGGACTTTGAGTTGAATTTTTTTTAACATGTCGAGTGCCAGTATTTATAAGTCTTCTGTTGAAATTTCCATTGCAGGCATAGATTTTTTTCCTTGAGGAAGAAGAAAGAATTGTGTTGGATCATAGTTTCAAAGGTTTTAGTTCATGGTCACTTAGCTCCATTATTTCTGGGCATGTAGTAAGTCAGACCACAATAGCAAAGAGGCAAGGTGGAGCAAAGCTGCCCACTTCTTGGCAACCAAGAAATAAAAAGAAAGAAAGGGCTGGGGTCCCAATATATCTTTCAGATATGCCATATATTAACTACTTCCTCCAATAAGTACTATCTCTTAAAGTTTCTACCATCTCCTGATAGCATCATCAGCTGGGGACTAAGCCTTTAACATATTAGAATAAGATCTAAATCATAACAACGACATAGATTTATTTAAAATTAACATATGAAAGAAATAAAAGAAGCCAATACTTATTGAGTTTCTGTGTGCCAAAAATGACACTTGATACTTTCATTGTTATGCTGAGGTTTTATTTTGTTGCTCCTAATATATTGCAAGATAGGTAGTATTAACTTGCTTCCCATTTATGAAAGAGTAACAGAGGCTGGTATACTTGGTAGCCAGGATATTTGTGATATTATGATAGCCAGATTATTTGTGATAGTGTGATATTGTAATTAGGGAATTGATTGCACAGTTGTAGAGAAAATGAAAAGAAATTGGGAAATCAGAGTTTTTTTCCTCCATGCTAGGAATCAAATCCAGGGTCTCATGCATGCTAGGCAAGCACTCTACTACTAAGCTACAATTCCTAGCTCTACAGGAAGTATGTTGAAACAACATTTTTCCCCCAAGAAAGTTTGGTTGAAGGCAAAGAGGTATAAGAATATAGCCTACAAAATGATAAGAAAAGGTCAGAAAGCGGGTAAGATGGTCATAAATGGAAATGGGAATTGGAAAAGTTGTGAAGGGTGAATCAGCAACCAAGGATTGAGTCAGCAACCATACCAAGATGCTGACAGACTGGGGGGAAAAAAAACTGGAGGAAAGACTTTTGTTTTCATGCCAATTCTCTAACTCAAAACAACTGAAAATTATTTGCTTCAGCTTCTTTTCTTAACTTCATCTATTCTTTTCACTCATTCATTCATTGATTCATTCTAGTTTTTGAACTATAAGGAGCTGCTGTACATTGGTAGCTCATACCTGTAATCCTAGCTATTCAAGAGGCTGAGATCTGAGGATCAAGGATTGAGGTTCTAGGCCAGACAGGGGAGAAAAGTCTGTGAAACTATTCACCAATTAGCAACCAAAAACACCTCAGTACTGGCACCAAAAAAGAGAAATACTAATTTTTTTACAAATAATGCTTTCCTTTTTTTTTTGGTGACAGTCCTGAGGTTTGAACTCGGGATCTGGGCACTGTCCCTGAGCTTTTCACAAGGCTAGTGTTCTACCACTTGATCCACAGCGCCATTTCAGCTTTTTCTGTTTATGTGGTATTAGGGAATCGAACCCAGGGCTTCATGCATGCTAGGCAAGCACTCTACCACTAAACCACTTTCCAAGACCTTTTTTTCACATATATGGTAGAAAATATTTATTAAGGTCATTGAATGTTTTTGGAAATATGAGTATTCTGTATAATTTCATTACTAGCACATACTACAATTTAAATATTTTCCCATTTATAATGTTATTTGCTATTTATACTATTAGGAAAATTTTTATGTATTTGTTTTCTCAATTTTGGAGCAAATAATTTTGAAGCAAATTTGTGGTTATACTTGTTGCTACATAAAATCATGGAATAATTGTAAGTTATGTTTTCAGATAATAAGTATAAATGGGAGGAAGTTAGATAGGTATTCTCTTAATATTATGCTTTTCTTTCAGGAATTCTTTGTTGCTTTGCGGCTTGTGGCCTGTGCCCAAAATGGATTGGAGGTTTCACTGAGTAGCTTGAACTTGGCTGTTCCTCCACCAAGATTTGTAAGAAATATTTTTAATATATTAATGATATTTAATTAAAATATGCCTGTACTTTGAAATTAAGAATATTTTTCCTTTGTTAATCCTTGCCATCTGTGACTATTGTGGTTAGTGGTTTCATGTGTATCCTTAGAATTACATGTATACATAAATATAAATACATATTTTCTCATTTTCCATTAGCTGTAGTATCCTGTACCCTTGATTCCATACTGTTAAAATTAATGTATTAGTGGCGTTGTGGCCCAAGTGGTAAAGCATTCACCTTGAGCTGAACAGCTCAGGGAGAGCACCCAGGCCCAGAGTTCAAGCCCAACTATCCCATCCTCTGTGCTCCCCCACTCCCCTCTCCCTCTCAAATAAAGCCAGTTGCCGGTGGCTCACGCCTGTAATCCTAGCTACTCAGAAGGCTGAGATCTGAGGATCATGGTTCAAAGCCAGCCCCATCAGGAAAGGCTGTGAAACTCTTATCTCCAATAACCACCAGAAAACTGGAAGTGGCGCTATGGCTCAAGGGATAGAGCGCTAGCCTTGAGCTGAAGAGCTGAGGGGCAGTGCTCAGGCTCAGAGTTCAAGTCCAGTGCTGACAAAATAAAAATAAAAAGAATGTGTTTAAACTGGACATGTGGCTCAAGTAGTAGAGTACTAGCAGAAAGCAAAAAAATTAAAAATAATGTTTTAGAAATCTTTACATAGAAAATCTTTACATAGAAATCTTTACATAGAATTTTCCTCCTTGTTTTATGACTGGTAGTATTTCTTTTCTTCTCCTACTAATAATTATCCATACCTAGGATCACAGTTCAAAGTGTGCTTGGACTACCTTAATATAAAAACTTTCTACACAGACAAAAAAATAGCAACCAAACTAGAAAGAAAGCCAACTAACTGGGAAAAAGTATTTACCAGCAAAATATCAGACAAGGGTCTAATATCCATTATATACAGGGAACTCAAGAAACTAACCATTCCCAAATCTAACAAACCAATCATGATATATGCAAGGGAACTAAAGAGAGACTTCTCAGAAGAAGAGATAAAAATGGCAAAGAAACACATGAGGAAATGTTCATCATCCCTGTCTGTAAAGGAAATGCAAATCAAAACAACACTGAGATACCACTTACCCAGTCAGAATGGCCACATCCTAAAGTCAGCCAACGACAAATGCTGGAGGGGATGTGGAGAAAGAGGAACCCTATTACTGCATTGCTGGTAGGAATGTATACTAATACAACCACTTTGGAAAACAGTATGAAGGTGCCTCAGAAAGCTAAATATAGATCTCCCCTATGACCCAGCCATACTACTCCTAGACATCTACCCTGAACAACAGGAACCAGTATACAAAGACACATGCATCTCCATGTTTATTGCAATACTGTTCACAATAGCCAAGATTTGGAAACATCCCAGATGCCCCACTACTGATGAGTGGATCAAAAAATTGTGGTACCTATATACAATGGAATATTATGTAGCCATTAGAAAGGACAAAATAATGGCATTTGCAGGGAAATGGATGGAACTAGAGCAGAGTATTTTGAGTGAATTAAGCCAAGAACAAAGAGAAAAATGGCACATGGTCTCCCTGATACGTGGATGCTAAAGTCAAAATACAAGAAGATATGACAACTCAAGAAACAAAGGACAACCACCCATTTTGTCATATCGTTGGTAAATGACTCCATGTTCTTTTTTTTTTTTTTTTGCCAGTCCTGGGGCCTGAACTCTGGGCCTGGGCACTGTCCCTCAGCTCTTCAGCTCAAGGCTAGTGCTCTACCACTTGAGCCACAGTGCTACTTCCAGCGTTCTGCTTATGTGGTGCTGAGGAATCGAACCCAGGGCCTCATGCATGCAAGGCAAGCACTCTACCACTGAGCCACCTTCCCAGTCCTGACTCCATGTTCTTGACCATATATATGGTAGATATATGCACGCAATGGAGGGAAGCCAGGAGGAGGAACAGAATAAGCGGGAACAACCTACACTGAGCAAAAGGAAAGAAATGTAAACATCACCCAATGTGGAAAAAAAACAAACAAACTTGTTTTGTCAAAGCTCATAGAATTCACAAACTGTGTAGACCATGATAATGACAATTTGCCTTTATGAAGGTTAAAATGTGTTGGTGACTTTAAATGTCACTATTCCACAATACTGTGAAATATGTGAAATTTATATAATCACCTAATCTCAATTAAAGAAATAAAGTGAGAAAAGGAATGGATTTGGAGGGATGGGTGACAATGTTGTCACTTTGTACTCATATACTGTTTTGTAAAATGGGAACTTCTTTGTACAACTACTTAAAGATAATAATAATAATTAAAAAAAAAAAACCAAAGTGAGCCTGGGTAAGAAGGCCCGTAAGACTTTTTTCTCTCCAATTAACCAGTAAAAAGCCTGAACGTGGAGCTGTGGCTCAAGTGATGGAAAACTAGCTTTGAGTGGAAAAAGCTAAAAGACAGTGTTCAAACCCCAGTACCAGCCCAGTAAACAAACAAATACAACCTGTAGCCTGTATAATTTGGAAATAATATATATTATCAACTTGCCCTCTATAGTTGTTGAACTAGAAATGCCTGTTTCTCTATATTTTTGCCACTTTACTAATATGAGACTTTTAGATCTTTGTCAGTTTGGTTGGTGACCAAAGGTATGTAAGTGAAATTCCGATTTTTTTCCTTTTGGCCCTTTTTTTGTGACACTGAATAGCTTTTCTGCTTTTGAGACGTTTACATTGTTTTTGTGTGAATGTCTTAAGTATTGTCATGGCTTATTTTTCTTCAGTTGCTGTTCTTAGTCTTTATGAGTTTCAAGTATGTTTTCTCAGTTTGTCTTTGTCTTTTAAAGATATTGGGTATTAATTTTTTTCATGACAAAATGTTTATATGAATATTTTGTCAAATTAAACCTTTTCTTTTTTACATTTTAAGTTAGTTCTGTTATAGGTATAAGTATGAATTCAGGTTTGTGTGTTGTTTTTTTTTCAAGATAGCTACACTGCATAGCCTAGAACAGTGTATTGAATAATCTTTTCTTTTGGTAAAGAAAAGATTTGAAATGTCAATTTGAAATTTAGCTCAATTATAAGCTGAATTGTCATATGTATTTTGGTTTCTTGATGGACTTTTTTGGTCTTATTAATTTGTTTATGTGTTAGTTTTACATTGTTTTTATTATAAATTGGTAAGGCTTTTTATTTGACACGACTGGTCCTCCCTACTCTTTTTCTCAGAAATTTTAATGGCTTTTGTTTTTATTTTATTTCATTTCATTTTTGGTAGTGCTGAAGATCAAGCCTTGTGTATACGAGGGCAACTGCTCTACTATTGAGCTGTATCCCCAATCCTTGTTGTTTGTTTTTAGAGTTACTATTTTAGAAACATTGAGAATTTAACTATTTTGAGAATGTCTGCACATCTCTATTTAGATATGGTATCAAGTGTTTAATATAGGGATTTACTGCCTAAATATATTATTGTTAAGATTTTAAAAATATAATCATTTGTCTCTCTTTTTTTGGGGGGGTCCAGTTGTGGGGCCTGAACTCTGGGCCTGGGCGCTGTCCCTTAGCTCTTCAGTTCAAGGCTAGTGCTCTTCCACTTGAACCACAGCGCTACTTCATGCTTTTTTCTTTTTGCTTATGTGGTGCTGAGGAATGGAACCCAGGGTCTCAGGCATGCAAGGCAATCCCTCTACCACTGAGTCACCTTCCCAGCCCAATCATTTGTCTCTTTAGCCAGATGAGCATAAATTGTGTATCATGTACTAGTAACAAATGCTAAGGTGGGGTTTTCCTGAATGCTTTCCTTAAATCTTATTGGAAAAAAAGTTATCTATTAATAGGTCATTTACCTATTTTTGTTAACATTCAGATACCTCTATCTTTATCTCAGTTATAGGAGGATTTCTTCTGTAATACTTGCATATTTTAATGCTATACAATGATTTATGTGGCTAAGTATAAAGGTTTTGTTGCAATGAAAAATAGGTGAAAATCTACTTCGTTTAAAATAGTGTTCTAAATGCAGTGATAACTAAGTGTTTTATATGAATATATTTAAATGCAGAGACTTTTCTTTTGAGGGGTGGCTGGTACTGGGTTTTGAATTCAGGCCCTTTTGCCTGCTAACCAGGCACTCTACCATTTGAGCCATGTTCCTACCACAAGACGACTTTTTCTTCATTACTTATTAATATGAGAATTTCAGTTTTTGTGCTATTTATGTTTTAGCATGATACCGGTAGTCCTTTGCTAACTAGTGGACCCTCTGCAGTTGAGCTTCCATGGGCTGTAAAAGTAAGTAAACTTCATAATTATTCACTTCTTACTCTTACTTTGCTTCCTACTTACATGTTTTTCCTTCCCCTACTTCCAAAATATAGTGCAATCTATGTTAGACTTTCATATGTATGTTCAAGTGTGGTAACTGGTACTGGACTAGTCTGCAATACTCAGACTCTGTTCTCTTCAAAGCCCTTCAATCTGCAATATTTTTCATTTCTAACTAAACAATAGAAAAACAGATAGTGTTCCAACTACAAGAGGAATAGAGTACATTAGACTCCTGAGTAGAGTTATTTTGAAGTTATTATTTTCTCTAAGCCATTTTGATGAAAATGAATGGTATGTACATATGTATATTTATGTGTGTTTGTTTGTTTATATTTATTTTTACTGGCTCTGAGGCTTGAATTCTGGGTTTGGGTGCTGTCCCTAAGCTTTTGTGCTCAAGGCTAAAGCTTTACCTTTTAATCCACAGCTCTTCTTTTGGCTTTTTATGGTTAATTAGAGATATGAGTCTCATAGATTTTCCTGCCCAGGCTGGCTTCTAAACTCAATCCTTAGATCTCAGCCTCCTTAGTAGCTAGAATTTTAGGCATGAGCCACTGGTGCCCAGCTTTACTTATATTTTTAAATAGGAAAACAAATTTTAAGTAGGAAAACATTTTAATGATGTTTGCTAGAACATTTTACAGATATATCCTTTTTTAAATAAAATTTAAAAGACTGTTAGCAAAATTTCTTCTTCCTTTTTTTTCTTTTTTAAAAATGTTTTTCATGGGGCTGGGAAGATGGCTCAGTGGTAGAGCACTTGCCTTTGCATGCTCGAGGCCCTGGGTTCGATTCCTCAGCACCACATAAGAAAAAAGCCAGGGAAGTGGCGCTGTAGCTCAAGTGGTAGAGCGCTCGCCTTGAGCTGAAGAGCTGAGGGACAGCGCCCAGGCCCAGAGTTCAGGCCCCACGACCGGACCCTCCCCCCAAAAAAAGTTTTTCATAGTATATCATGTCTATAACATGAGATGCTTCTTTGAAAGGTATCCTGAAAAGTTGTGGGAGGTTTTTTGTTTTTTGGTTGTTGTTTTTTGGTATGTGTGCTGGTCCTGGGACTTGAACTCTGAGCCTAGAACTGTCCCTGAATCTTTTTGTGCTCAAGGCGAGGGCCCTACCACTTGAGCCACAGTGCCACTTCCAGCTTTTTCTGAGTAGTTTATTGAAGATAAGAGTCTCACAGACTTTTCTGCCCAGGCTGGCTTCAAACCCCAACCCTCAGTTCTCAGCCTCCTGAGTAGCTAAATTATAGGCGTGAGCCACTGGTTCCCAGCAAATATGTGTATATATATATATATCTTTATATATGCGTGTATATGTATATATCTATACATATGTATATATGTATATGTATATATATACATACATGTATATATCTTTTTACATATGTATATATACATATATGTATTTTTTAAGTAGTTGTACAAAGAAATTGCCATTCAACAAAGCTGTTTGTGAATACAGTGTCACTGCTTTCCTTCCAACCTACACTTTGCTAGCTTTTCTTTTTTTGGGGGGGGGTCCGGTTGTGGGGTCTGGGCGCTGTCCCTCAGCTCTTCAGCTCAAGGCTAGCACTCTACCACTCGAGCCACAGCGCACTTCCGGCTTTTTTCTTTTTGCTTATGTGGTGCTGGGGAATTGAACCCAGGGCCTCATGCATGCAAGGCAAGCACTCTACCACTGAGCCACCTTCCCGGCCCCCTTTGCTAGCTTTTCTTAATTTTGTAGTATATACATGGAATTCCTAACTGCATTCTCCCTGCCTTCTCTTCGTTCTGATATTCCTCTCTCCTTGAGCCCACCCCATATTGTTCAAGTACCCATTTCCTAGTGGTTATTTTGTTGACTTTGCTTTTCTAAGGAATTACACTATTTGAGTTCTTCCTTGAGTCTATTGTATTTCAGTTAATAATTTTTATACACTTGCATACTAGCCAGTGTAATTACTACTATATTTACAAACTATCACATTTGAGAGAAAATATGCAGCTTTTGCATATCTGGACCTGACTTACTTGACTTAAATGTTTTAAAAATACAAGATCTATTCTTTGAGAACTTGATTTCTGTAACTGAAGTTGAATCTTTTTCACTATTTAACTGGTCATCTTTTTCATCTTCTAGGCTGAAGATAAGGCCAAATATGATGCCATTTTTGACAGTTTAAGCCCCGTGGATGGATTTTTGTCTGGTGATAAAGTGAAACCAGTATTGCTCAACTCTAAGTTACCTGTGGAAATCCTTGGGAGAGTAAGATAGTAAATTTTAAATGTTATTTGTGTATATTTTAATTTTATAAAAAACATTATAAAACATTGTATCTTGTTTTAAAGTTGTATCATTATAGAATTTTCTGTGGTTTTTTTTTTTATTGTTGTTGTTAGTCATGGAGTTTAAACTCAGGACCTGGGTGCTCTCCCTGGGCTTTTTGCTCAAAGCTGGTGTTCTAAGTTTGGGCCATAGTTTTGCTTCCAGTTTTTGGGTGTTTAATTGGAGATAGGAGACTTATGGACTTCCCTCTCAGGGCTGGCTTCAAGCTGTGATCCTCAGATTGCAGTCTCGTAAGTAGCTAGGATTACAGGCCTAAGCCACCAGTGCCTGGCTCAGTGTGTTCTTAATATATAAAAATATTACCAGTTGTTTGGTTATTCCCTATCAAATGTGAGTAGTCAAAATTAGTTATATGTATAAGCTCCTTGGGTAAGACCATTTTTCTGTGTGCTGCATACTGTGACTTCCCAATTCTTCAACACTGTTTAAAGACTATCAATATCAATATTTTATATCTGCGCTTTACCTCATATGGTTGTAAGGAATTGTTTCATCTCTGAAATTGTAAATTCTATTCTAACTTGAACTTATGTGCTTTCTAGAACCTTTTCCTAGATGTTTGCAAGACTTTTAGTTTCTTGATTTCTTCAAGACCTTTAAACCTCAAACTCTTTTACATTCCCTCTATCTTTTAAATTGTGGCTTGGTACCCTTACCATGAAATTTGCCACATTAATCAGTTGTAAATTTAAATCAATTTAAATTTCAATACTGCTACATACATTCATATTTTTGTGCAGCCATCACTACCATTCATCCTTACGGCTTCTTTTAGTCTATAAACTAAAACACTATCCCTTTCTTTTTTTTGTAAATTAAAAAAAAATTTTTCAGCTTTGGGGCTTGAAATCAGGGCATAGACATTGTCCCTCAGGTTTTTTGCACAAGGCTAGTCCTCTACCACTTTGAGGCACTGTGCAATTTCTGTTTTTCTGGTAGTTAATTGGAGATAAGAGTCTCACGGGCTTTCCTGGCAGAGCTGGTTTTGAACAGTGATCCTCAGATCTCAGCCTCCTGAGTAGCTAGGATTATAGGCATGAGTCACCAGTGCCTGACTCTTTTGCAGTTACTTTTTCCCTAATGTGGGCTTTTTGAACCCATCATTTCACATCCACATCTTTAGTTCTTGTCTGCCACATTGTTCTTCCATCTTCTACTCTCAACTTCTTGACTTTTTAGATCTTTTTCATAGATTCTCGAAAGCATTTTTTTCAACTTTGCCACAAAATCTTTTTTTACTAAACATCCAGTTTTTCATTAAGCTAATTATCTATTTTCTCTTCAGTTGCTTTACAGACTCCTGAAAAAGCCTAATAAGATTGGTGTCATCATAAATTCATGATCACCAGCTTCACTTGAGCTTCTACTACCTGTCATTCTTGTGCTGTTTCAAAGTGATTTTTCTCCACTCTTCATATTTCAACTTTACCTACTCTCTAAATCTACAGCCCTTAAAAAAAAGAACTTCTGCCTAAGTAGATTACATAGGATCAAGTCTTGGCTACACTGCTTCTTATGTGTGATCTTGGGCAAGTCATATATAACCATGTTTGTTAACTTTAAAAAGGGCATAATTTCTAATTTATGGGGTTGCTAGTATTAGATGTGATTATGTAATATAGTTATATGGTGCTTGTACATATTCTTTAATTGCTAACTACTATTGTAATGATGAGAATGATGATGATTACCACATCATCTCCAGTATTAGTACTACTACTGTTGCTGGATCAGTGTTACATAAATTATATACTTAATAAATACTGATTTTAAAAGCCATTTTTATTATTATTTCCACTACTTTTCTATTGTGTAGTAAATTTGAGATTCCTAAGCACTAAATAATCTTGTCATTTTATTACTTAAAATAAATCAGTAGCTTCTCAATGCAATTAAGATGAAATCCAACTTCCTTTCAAAGCACTTAATGACCAAGAGTTTATTTATCTCTATTCTTATATGTCATTAGTACACTTTCTCTCCTTGGCTCCAAATACACACACACACACATGCACACACGCACGCGCGCGCACACACACACACACACACATTAAGTTTTCTCATTTCTGTTTTTTAAGGTTTGGGAGTTAAGTGATATTGACCATGATGGAAAGCTTGACAGAGATGAATTTGCAGTTGTAAGTAACCTGATTTCTTAAGGTCTGAAACATGTTAATGGTTCTATGATGTGAAATTCTCTCTCTCTCTCTCTTTTGAACTAGAGTGTATTATTTGCCTCAGGCTGGCGTGGAACTTGCCATGCAACTCAGGATGCCCTTGAACTTATGATCCTCCAGCCTTACCCACCCCAACCCCAGTCCCCCTCCCCGCAAGTACTAAAATTATAAGGTGTGCACCACCATTCTCATGAAAATTTTCTCTTTTAATTCATCCTTAGAAGAAAATGATATGTCCATCAGATTGCTGGTATAAACATTTCTATTTGGAATTTATAAATAAATATTTTAAAATAAATGAGTAACAGAAGATGTATGTTTTTGCAGTCTTTATTTTGTCTTTAAGGCACATAGAAGTTCTTTGGTTACTGTACTTTTAAGAGGAAGGGTAGTACTATTTTTGTATATCTCACTTGTCTTAAATGTATTACTCCAGTTTTCACATTTATTTCACTAAAAAAAACATGAATAGCACTAACTTCATTTTACTTGATAAAAACATAGAAAGTTGAACTTTTTCTGGTACAAAATCCTATCTGAAATTACATTTTAGTAATAGGATATTCTCCTCATTCATGGTTAGATAAAACTTCTGTGAACTCAACAATGTTAAATCTCTAGTCTCCCATTCATTCTCTTACATTGAAACTATGTTAAATCTCTAGTCTCCCATTCATTCTCTTACATTGAAACTCGTATGTTCAAGTTTTCTACCCCTATTTTGCTAAGGAAACCTCTGTTTTATTTTCAAACTTGTTGCTACAAATTTGGATTTTTCTTCTAATCTCTATTGGGTCTGTGGTTATACTCTTTTCTGATTCTGAATCTTGCATATTTTTATTGTTTAACCCATTATCTACTTTATTGATCTTTGAAAATTGTCTTTTGGATCATGTAATTTCTCTGTTTTGTTTCTCCTCTTTTCTTCTTCCCCCTCCTTTCATAAATGTTAACCTGTAATAGAATATACATATATACATATACATATACATATATATATATATATATATATATCACATTTTAAAAATGCAGAAAGTTAGAGTGACTTGAATTCATGGTCACAGGTCTCTAGTAACTTTTGTCTTAATTCAGATGATGGTTAGAAAATGGCAGGACATATACTCAAAATGGTGATAAAACATCCCACTGGGCTGGCAATGTGGCTTAGTGGTAGAATGCTTGCATAGCATGCATGAAACCTTGGGTCCATTACTCAGTATCATATCCACAGAAAGAAAAAAAAGTTAAGCCGTATACCAGTGGCTCATGCCTGTAATCCTGGCTAGCTACTCAGCAGGCTGAGATCTGAGGATCATGTATCTAAGCCAGCCTGGGCAGGAAAGTGTGAGACTCTTATCTCCGATTAACCAACAGAAAATTGGAAGTGGCACTGTAGTTCTAGTGGTAGAGTGCTCGCCTTGAGCTGAAGAGCTGAGGGACAGTGCCCAGGCCCAGAGTTCAAGCTCCATGACCCTCCCCCCCACAAAAAAAACAAAACCCACCACAACTTATCCCACTGATATATAAGTCAATATATTGAAGAGATTTGATACATGATGTACTTTGAAACATGGTCAACTTTAATTATACATACTACCTGCTTCTTTTGTTATGAGTATTAGTGTACTGTTAAACTTACCTATCTAAAAAAAATATTGGTATCAGATCTTTGCATTGTAAGTCATTAAAGGATCATTTGTATTAATATAATTAGGATAGATGGAAAATAATATTATCTTTGTTAAATAGTATAGTTTAGGTTAAAGTAACAATAAATGCTACTTATCTTATATGTCCTGCAGCCTTTTACTAGGCTGTGTGTGTACATATATATATATATATATATATGTATATATATATGTATGTATATATATGTATGTATATATATAAATATATATATATGTATATATACATATATATATACATATATATATATACATACATACATACACTTATGGGCTGGGAATGAGGCTTATTGGTAAAGTGTTTGCCTACCATGCATGAAGCCCTGGGTTCCATTCCACATAGAAAAAGCCAGAAGTGGTGCTGTAGGTCTTGTGACAGAGTGCTAGCCTTGAGCAAAAAGAAACTCAGAAACAGTTCTGAGGCCCCCAAGTTCAAGGTCCAGGACTGGAAATAATAATAATAAGCTTTTATTTAAAAGAATATGTTGAGTGCATACTCAAGTGGCACAGTGCTGGCTTTACCATGGACAAGGTCCAAACCCTAGAATATTAAAAAATTTAAATAATAAATTACTAATAAATATACTACCATTTTATTTTAGATAGTAAATACGATGTCTTCTAGACTACTGCTAGTTAATCATTTTGCCACAATTTCTATTTTCTACATACAATTCTTCAGAAAATTTTGTTTTCAGGAGCTTTTCTTTAGTTTAGAACTTGCTTGATATATCAATTTCCATTCTTTAATTCCATGAAAGTAAAAAAAAAAAAGCTCTTTTATTACATTATTTTTAGATGTGTTCTTTCCATGTTGCTTAGGCTGTCCTTGAGATTCTGGGCTTAGGTGATCCTGCTTTCATTCATAAGTAGCTAGGGCTACAGGCATGCACTATTGTATCTACTTTTCAGAATTATAATTGGCACAACATAGCAGCCTAACCAAAACTTTTAAGTCATGTGACTTGTGACTTGTTTTTTTATACAATTTACTTATAAACGTCCATATTTTAGATATGAATTTTAAGATTTGGTCTATTCCTTGAAAGTTGAAGTAATTAAAAAAATTACTTTTTAAAAGAAATGAACTAGGCTGGGAATGTGGCTTTGTGGTAGAGTGCTTGCCTAGCATTCATGAAGCCCTGGTTCAATTCCTCAATACCACATAAACCAAAAAAGCCCAAGTGGCACTGTAGCTCAAGTAATAGAGTGCTAGCCTTGAGCAAAAAGAAGCTCAGGTCCTGAGTTCAAGCCCCAGAACTGGCAAAAAGAAAAAAAAAGAAAACTAAAAAGACCTTTTCTAATAGTACAGTAACTAAGACCTGAACATTTTCAGTTGTCTTCCTAAATGAAATGTCAAGGTAATATAATGTATTACTCAGAAAATTTTTGGTTTGTTGAAACATTATATAGGACCCTCCCCTAGCATATCTTATTTTACTAATCAATCAAAACTGGATTAATAATAGGAATCATTCTGTTGTCAGGGCTCGGTAGCACATGTCTATAATCCCAATCAGAGGAAGTTTGCAAGTTCAAGGCTAGCCTGGCTATACAGTGGGACTCCGGTCTTTTAAAAAAAAAGAGAGAGAGAGAGAAAGAATGTTTCAGGCCTTACCTTTCTTATGTGCTGTCTGTTTTTTTGTTTTAAAGACCTGATATCCTGCTCTCAGTTTATTTTTTTAATGGAAACAAATGAAAATGAAGTTAATCATTCATTGTAACTTGGTGTGTTGAATTATAGTACAGATTTGTTTTAGAAATAATTACTAAACTAATTTGTCAAAACTTGATTGAATGTTCTAAATATATATTAAAATTCTATTTTTAAAATTTTATACAAGGGGCTGGGAAGGGTGCTCAGTGGTAGAGCGCTTGCCTTGCATGCCTGAGGCCCTGGGTTCGATTCCTCAGCACCACTTAGGCAAAAGGAAAAAAGCCGGAAGTGGCGCTGTGGCTCAAGTGGTAGAGTGCTAGCCTTGAGCTGCAGAGCTGAGGGACAGCGCCCAGGCTCAGAGTTCAGTCCCTACAACCGGACCCCCCCCCAAAAAAAAAATTTATACGAATAAGTGGGAACTTGGATAAGTTGTTTTTAATTGGGTGGCGGAATCAGTGAAGTTAACTTATATAATTTGCATTGCCATGAGAACTTTTAATGAATAGCTTGTTCCTTTGAATACTCTTTCATATAATCTGAAATCTAGTGGTTTAATTAAAAATCCAGATCTAGAATACCTTTGAGTGTTTGGTTTTTTTTTTAAGTACATTTCTAAAAGACCTTGTCATGTATGGATGTTCTAGCAATACCTAAAATTACTTCTGAGCATCTTTCTTATATATGGATGCACACACAAAAAAGAATACAAACTTTAAAAATTATACCTATTCCTACCAGGCGCTGATGGCTCATTCCTGTAATCCTAGCTACTCAGGAGGCTGAAATCTGAGGATCAGAGTTTGAAGCCATCCGGGGCAGGAAAGTCCATGAGAGTCTATCTCCAACAAACTACTCAGAAAAACCCAGAAGTGGTGCTGTGACTCAAGTGGTAGAGTGCTAGTCTTGAGCAAAAGAAGCACAAGGACAGTACCCAGACCCTGAGTTCAAGCCCCAGGACCGGCACCAAAAAATAGTGTATCAGCATTCTATGTACTGATTGATGAATAATCGGATGAGAGCATATAGATATTAGAATTATATCTCTATGATATTTACTTCTGACTCATTTAATTTAGTAGGAAGTTTCTTTTGACACATTAAGAAATCATTTTGCGAAATGCTAAATTTTTCTCTCTTATATTAGCATTAAAAACTCAAAATATGCATTAAATTATGCTATTGTCATTGAATGGAAAAAATGTCTAAATCCCAATTGTTGGTCACTTTAAAGTTCATGAATATAGTTCTAGTCTGTGAAGTAGTCCTATGTTTTTGTTTTTGTTCTGATCCTAGGGTTTGAACTCAGGGCCTGGATATTGTTCCTGAGACTTAGTCAAGTTGAGCCACAGCTCCACTTCCAGCTATTTTAGTAGTTAATTGGAGATCAGAGTTTCACAGACTATTCTGCCTGGGCTGGCTTCGAACTGAAATCCTCAGATCTCAGCCTCCTGGGTAGCTAGGACTGTAGGCATGAGCCACCATCACCCTATTCATGTTTCTTTTTAATGAAATAAATATGAAAACTGGAAC